TCTCTATCCCAGGAATATCGAACCAGCCCAAGCAGATTCTCCCTTCTGGGGAGCTGGGATGTCATGCTAGACAGCAAATGGCAGACTGTAGAGTAGGTGAAAGAGGAGAGACACCTAGAGACAAGGAGAAAGCTTTAAAAGCCATGAATTAGCAGACCTTAAAAGCAGAGAGAGGAGGAGAGAGAATCAGCACAGAATAGCAAAAAAAAAAAACAGGCAGCAGCAAGTAGTGGAAAAAGCCAGGGCCAAGGAGCTGAGTTCCACACAGAACTAGAACTGTTCTTGGATGAGCGTGGCCTCTCCTGTGCCCTGAACAGCCATGAACTGTGGTCCAGTTCTTCCTGAGACCTGCCTCTGCCATCAGAGAGATTCTTGTTTTCCTTACCACCCCATCTACCTTTAGAGTGATCCCACATGGCAGAATATTTTGTTGTGCAAAAATATTTTGGCCTTTCCGTAAGTGAAGCCTGACCATGTGACTACTTTGGTTGGTGGACTGGCTGGACGTGACATGTCATTTCCAAACAGACGCTTTAAGAGTCAAAACATAGTTCGCCATATTCTTTTTGTTGGCCATATAACTGGTGATATTTCAGACAAAGGCTATTGTGTCAGTCTCAGTCCCACAGTAGAGACAACATGGAGGGAGCAGAGAGCTACAGCTGATGGAGATGGTCATGTAACATGACTGAGAAATAAGCCGTTGATGACATAAGATACTGAGATTTGGAATTTGGTTGTTATTGCAGCAAAATCTCATCTAATCTGACTTAGAAAAAAAAGACAAAACAAAAAACCAGTAACCACGGTGCTTTGGTCTGAATGTTTGTTTCCCCCCAAATTCATATGTTGAAACCTAACCATCAATGTGATGATATTAGAAGGCAGGGCCTTTGGGAAGTGATTAGATCATGAGGGTGGAGATTTAATGAATGGGATTAGTAACCTAATAAAAGAGGCTCCAGAGAGCTGCCTTGTCGCTTCCACCATGTGAGGACACAGTGAGAAGGTGCTATCTATGAGGAATCATACACCAAATTTGATGTCACCTTGATCTCAGACTTAGCTTCCAGAACTGTGAGAAGTAAATGTTTGTCGTTTATAAGACACCCAGTTTGTGGTATTTTTGTTACAGCAGCCCAGATGAACTAAGACATGAGGTAAACTGAGCATATTTTCTATTCCTTACAAGCCCAGAGTCTCACCCAACACAATGGCATAGCCAGCCACACTTCAATCCACCAAAACAGCATGTGCTTTTGACTTTTCTGGGGTGGAATTATATTAGTCACCTGATATGCACACTAGTTGTTTCTCTTCCCAGTCTCAGTCCTTCAGTCTATTTCCTGTACATGTATCCAACATAAAATTTGGCTCAAAATCCTATCTGGACTGAACACCTGTTAATTTCTGCCTTTTCTCTCTTTGAAGTTTGGGTCTTTTTTGATGATGTTCTCCTCCCCTGGCAGCCTCCCCTCCCCCTGATTTTACTATAAAATTTTTTTCAAGCTTACAGAAGAACTGAAAGAATTTCAGAGTGAATACCCACATATCTGCTACCTAGATTCTACCCTTACCATTTTCCTTTATCGGCTTTATTATATATCTATTTGCCAATCCAGCAACCCACCACTCTATCTACTCATCTTTTTTTTTTTGGTTGCATTTTGAAGTAAATTGCAGACCCACAATGACATGATGATCTCTTACCCCTCAACACTTAGTCTTTTTCCTTTCTTTTTCTTTTTTTTTTTTGGTGGTATGGGGATTTGAACCCTTGACCTTGGTCTTATAACACAGAGCTCTAACCAACTGAGCTAACCAGCCGGCCCAAAATGTTTTTTAACCTTCTTTGAGATCACTGTAACCATTTTCTCTAATTGAGCAGACCTGCACGTTTTCACCCTTTAACAATCAAGAACTCTGTATTTGTCCACATTACATAAACCCTAGGCACCCATACTCTTAATCTTGCTCTTTAATTTTTCTCTCTTACTTCCTCTCTTATCTCGTCACTCACCACGACTTTTCATTTGCTTTCCCTTCTCTCTTTCAGCTCCCCAGTGGATAATTTTCAAACTAAACAACAGCTGAACAATATCCCCACTGTTCTGCATGTCTGGGTATGCATAACACGTACACACTTGCCCAGAACAGAAGGAAAACACTATTTCTTCCATTTTATTTCTTTGCATCAAAAATGATTAAATCTGTCTGCATGACCTTCTTACACTAGACCATTTGGCTATTTTAAAAGTGTATTTAATAGACTAGATTAGGCAAGCTGCATTCCCTTTGTAGAAGAAATCTTTACCACTAAATGGTGCTGTAAATGCCATGGGAACAATGCATCTTTTGTAGGACAAGAGAGAGACACTGCCATTTTACAATTGCCAGATTGTTTAAGTTATTATACAGCAATTCATGCTAGTCACATATTTGCATTGTTGTACAAGTACTTTCTTATTTTGGTTAAAGATGGCTTTCTGAAGGGAATCCTGCTCTTGGAAGGCAGACTTAGAAGACCTTATTACACAGTCTAAGACATTTCATTTTTATTACCCTGGCCAGCAGTGTTTCAATTTTTTCAAAAAAGGCTACCAGCAATGAGGTAAAAGACTGCAAATAATCTCCAATAACACAGGCACCACTATATTTTATTTACTAACAGCTATAATAAAGTTTTTGGTAAAAAAAAAAAAAAACTTAAGAAGCACCTTCCTTTTTGGTGAGCATCAATTTCTTAACAATCTTTTCAACCTTATCTAGGATTATAAAGCTGAGTTGGCTATTTCAAAGTGAAGGGGGAAAAAGAAGGAAAAACATTTATAATAAAATACTGTGGGAAGAAAGTAAAGAGAAATTGTCCTGAATTATATTAGCAATTACTACTTTTAAATATCAGAATCTTTGTATATGAGATCTTTCTTACTTTGATGCTTCAGAAGGCGAATTCATTCATTCATTTACTCAACAGTCATTGATCACCTTCTCTGTGCAATGCCGTAGATTAAATACTGGGAATATAAGGAAAAAGAAGATATGTACCGTGTCCTCATGGAGTTTGTAATTCAGTAAGGGAGATGGGCTGGCAGTTGTGTTCCAGCCTGAGGTTCTATGACAGAGGGGCACCCAGAAAACTGGAAGAGAGACTATCCTAAACTGAAGAGGGTGAAAAGGCTCAGAAAGGCTCATGGAGGCATCTTGAAGGACAAATGGGGAACTAGACAATTAAGAGAATAGTGGTTAAAATGCCTTCTGTTGCAAAATAAACAACCCAACACAAACTGGCTTAATAAAAAGTGGAAATATATTGGCTCATGTACCTGAACGTTCCAGGGAATTTTGGCTTTAGTCCTACAGCTGGTTCCAGGTCTAGTACAATGTCAATAGGAATCTACCACTGGTGGTCTACCCAGCAGCATCTCCCTTCCTTTTTGCCAAGTTTATTCACTATCATTGGAGTTGTTGTGTCTTTCCTGAGTGGGTAGGCTTAACTAATTATGTCAGCGACAATCCTATTTCCACATAAGATCACGTTTTGAGGAACTGGGGGTTAGGACTTTAACATATGAATGGGGTCGGGGGGGGGCACAATTTAACCCATAACACTCTACCTTTCTCTTCTTCCTCTCTCTGATCTCCTGCTGGTAAATCCCATTGGTTGGACCCAACTAGAGGGTAAGGGAGCCTGGTTGATGTGAACCATAAAGTCAGCCTCTTAACACATAGAGCAGGGTAGAGAAGGGTGGATCTGGAGGGGCAAAGAGAACTTCCAGAATTCTTTGCATAGCCTTCGTTTTGGGGAAGGATCTCTCCGCATGGCAACTGACACCTCTAGACTGACTTAGCTCTTAGCCCTTCCTGTCTTAAAAAGAGAGGTAGGGACCCTCTATTTCCCAGGTTCCATAACAATTCTCTAAAATGAGTTGACTGGTTCTGTTTGGGTTACAAGAAGAGACTTAAAAAGGGAAATAGAAGACAGGATGCCTAGTGCTCCACCATTGTCCTCGGCATTCCTTCTCCCCCATTACTCTGGGACTTTTTTTCCCTTGTGGCTTACTAGCTATCTGGGTAGCAACTGCATTCAATTGCATGTAATGAAAACTCAAGAATGATGGTAATAAACCAGATGAAGTTTACATATCAAGATGTCCAGAGCAGGGCAGGCCCAAGCTGGTGCAATGACTTAAAGAAGTCAGCAAAGGCCCAGGCTCCTTCTGCCAGGCTCCCCATCCTTAGCGTGTGGCTTTTGGCCTCATGACTGAAAGGTACTGCTCCACTTCCAGCCTCACATCTGAGTTCTAGACTGGAAGAAGTAAGAGGAAACTTTAAGGAATTAGGGGCAGCAGAAATCTGGAAAGCAGAATTTTCTCAGAAATAGGATATGAGTATTTCCCTAGCTTATGTCCATTTCTATCTCATAAGGCATGTCTGTGTCACAAAGCTTTCCCTTACTACATGGGAGACTGGGAAATGTAGTTTTTTGCTGATCTGATGCCATTGGGAAGGCAAGTTTTTTTCTGTTAATAAGGAAGAACGGGAGAGCAGATATTGGGGGAACAAGCTAGCAGGGTCAGCTACACTGGGCAATGGCACCTGTGTGCTTGGCTTCCATTTTCCACCCAGACCTGAAGGGCTACCGACCGATCTGAGGATTTGAGTGGACTGGGGAAAAGCAGTAAATGTAGTTACTGAGAAAAGAGAATCACAGTCTAGATTTAAATAATAAAATCCTTCCAAGACAATTTCAAAAGCATGTAATAAGCCCCTACCATGTGCACTGACTTTTATTAGTCTCCTCTGTCAGAAAATGTGCTTATCCCAAGATGACTGGAGGAATGTCTTCAGAATTCTTTACATTGCTGAGTTACTGTTTATTGAAGGACTCACGTATATTGATTGCATCTTACACAAGCAATTAATTAGCCCCTCTTCCTTTGTCCTACTCAGACATAGGCAAAGGAAGAATATAATTTAATTCTCTCTTCTCTCTTTAGAGGAAAAGGACGAAATTCATTGCCTGTGATTTTCTGACCGAATGGTTATACAAGTAAGTTGTTCATGTCTTTGAATATTCAATGACCCTAAGGATTCAATTGTGCTAATTTGTAAGCAGAATAGCAACAATTGACTTGAATTCTTGCTTATTGTTTTCTTGTCAATCAACCATGATATGGCATCGTGACCAGCCAAAATCCAAAGAGGATAGGGGAGCCATTCACAGAGTTCTTCTCCATTCCATTTGTGGAAGAGTGGCTAAAGCACCAGTAAGTAGACACAAGGCTTCAAATAATTTATTCCTAATTTTAAGATTGTGTTAATGATCGTTTTCTCCAGTCTAAGAGAACTAACTCATGTGATCCACCTGGGACACGGGGTCAGTTATACTTGTGGCTCTGGTTATTTTTAGCCTAGGCTAAGCTCAGCCTATCCATGCAGAGATTTCATTCAAGAAGCATTTCAGAAATAAAATAGGAAACTTTAAAAAGCTCTAATCCTAAGTAATTTATCTCCCGTTCTCTCTTTCTGAAGGTGAAATGTCTCAGGATATATGACTAAACTTTTCTAAATATAATTTTTTTAATGTTTTCTTTTTAAAAAAAATAATTTTTAGTTATGTGTGTCAGTTCTTCATTTACAATATTAGAAAATGAGAGATAAAGTTAAAATTCTCTGTAACCATTCTAATTTGGGTCTACTCCCCTCACAGAGGTGATAAGTACAGTCTATAGTGCATCCTTACAGAGCTCTTAAAATTAGCTAATAACTATATACAATTAGTTTATATTGTATAAAATTAGTAGTAGTATTCAGCGTGAGCTATTTTTCATCAGTGATGTAACGACAGTAATGATGATGATAGCAGCTAACGTTTATTGAGTGCCTGTACCACTGTTCCCAGCATTTAATACCAATGGACTAATTTGATCCTCATAACAATGCTATTACCAGCCCTGTTTTGCAGATGAGGAAATTTATGTATTATTCTACAACTTGCTTTTATTTCACTCATATATATGCTTTTGAGATCTAGCCATGTTGATCCATTACATCGAATGCTTGCTTTTTGATGGCTTTATAATTTATTTCTATATTTGCATAATTTATTCATTTATGCAAAAATACTTATTGATTACCATGATGTGCCAAACATCGTTCTAGGTGTTGGAGATAGAGCAGTAAATGAAAGTAGCCTAAAATCTCTGCCTTCATGAAATTTATATTGTAGTGGGGGGTGATAAACAATGAGCAAATAAGTGGTACAGGGAAAAATAAAGCCAAAGCGGGTATGGAGTACTGAGGGGTCTTAATTTCATATAGGATGGTCGGGGAAGACCTCACTTAGAGGACAACATTCAAGCAGTGTTCCTCTATTTTAAGCCATAGGTGGAAGAAAAGAGAGCTCAATTTAGAGAAAATAATAAAATGTTTGCCTGTCTCTTTGAAAATGTTTCCATGCCAGCCCTTTGCAAGAACAATGTCAGGAAACTGAGGCATAAGGAAATCAAGGGAGGCTTGCGAAGTCACAAACTAAACACAGTGGAAGACCTTAAGTTAGACCTTTAGCCCTCAAATGTCACATCTTTTGCTTAAATCTGCAGTCCTTGAGAATGCAAAGTTGAATAGACTTTTGGCTGACTTTCTCAATTTTGAGAATTTTAAAAACCCCAGATATTACCAGTTTTTTGTTTGTTTTGGGTTTTTTTGTTTGGTGACTGGCTGGTATGGGGATCCAAACCCTTGATGTTGGTGTTATCAGTACCATGGTCTCCCAAGTGAGCCAATAGCCAGCCCAGTTTTTTTAAAAAAGCGGAGACTACACATTGAAAAGAGAGCAATATTGGCAAACCTTGTCTCTTATATAGCTTCTAAGCCTGTGCCTAACTGTCTACTACAAAATGGAAGGCCCATAATTTATTGATTTGTGTATATTTTTTTGAGGCAAGATTTTTTTCAGTATCATTCTCCAAGTTGCTGCTTTGCCTTGAAAAGGAAACATTTTCCACTTGTAATAACCAATGAAAAAGAACCTTAAGCGAACGTCTCTAAATGAATCCCCTTGATGATGTCTGCTGGCCGCTCATATAAATATTCCGTGAAGTAGCAGTAGCAATCATTTCAGCTGGACTCCACAGGAGCAAAAACACAAGTGCTCTTGCTTAACTGGCATTTGTATTCTCTACTTCAATTACTTTTCAAAGAGTTGTCCAGAAGCATGATAAAAATTAAAATGATACTAATCTAATTTTTTTGATGCAATAAATGTTTACTGAACACGTACCCAGTGTAATGCATGTGGCACTGTGGAAAAAACAGAAATGAATAAACTCTGGCTCCAGCCCTTGGGGTGAGAGATGCGTTTACAACCAGCTGTAGTGTCTGCAGTGAGTGTTGTGATACAGATGTTAACAAAGCACTAAAGGGAAATGGGGAAGCACGAAACCGTCCACAGGCTCTCCCTGGTGGGCCTGGAGCCAGCTCAGTTGGGGCACTGGTCAAGCTGGTTGGGACCCAGATTTGGTCTTGAGAGACAAGAACTCAAGTGCTGTATTCTTCCCAAGGGTACTCTTGAGCAGGAAGAGTCAGAGAAGCAAGTGGGAACCAAAGTTCTTAAGAAGAACAGGGGTGGGAGCTAGGAAACAATATCCAGTCCCGGTTTTCTCAACCACAGCACTATTGACGTTTAGAGCAGGATAATTCTTTGTTGTAGGGGGCTGGCTTGTGCTGGAGTATAGGTATTGAAAAAAAAAAAAAAAAAAAGCTTCCTAGGTGATTCTGATGTACAGCCAGGATTGAGATCTCATCCACGGGGCAGAAGGAGTACTGCATCTAGAAGATGATAAATCATATACATTAAGCCATTACTCCACTAAGCACTTTTTCAAACTTTTACATATATTATTTGATCTGCACAACAACACTAAGATATGGATGTTAAAACTGAGAACCTACAGCTGGGTAGTCAATAGTGAAGTGATATAGATCTTAGGCAAGTATAGTGTTTACTGGGCTGGGAATGTGAGGGATGGGTATTTTGAATAGAGCATAGAGATACAGATTGGAGGAAAATGAATTTTGAGGGAAAGACTCTGTCAAGTTTTTTTAAAGGAAGAAAAATATAAACTAGAACTTCAGGCAGTACTGCGTTAGGGTTAAGGGCCTAAGCTTTAGGGACAGGCAAACCAATATTCACATCTCCACTCCACCACTTACTGATAGTATGAACCTTAGGCAAGTGTTCTATTTATCTATGACTGTGTAACAAATTGCCCTAAAACTTAGTGTCTTAAAATAATAAAGATTTATTATCTTACAGTTTCTGTGCATCAGGAATTTGGTAGCAGCTTAGCTTTGTGGTTCTGGTTCACAGTCTCCTAGGGGTTGCAGTCAAGGTGTCATAGGGCTGCTGTCATCTGAAGGCTCAACTGGGGCTGAAGATTCTGCTTTCAAGATGGCTCACACACATGGTGCTGTGTGTTGGCTGGAGGTCTCAGTTTTTCCCCACATGGGCCTTTCCATGGGCTGTTTGAATATCCTCACGACATGGTGACCAGCCTCCTTCAGAGTGAAAGACTCAATCATGAAGAAGAAGCCCCAGTGCCTTTTATGATGCAGTCTTGGAAGTCAAAACCCCCATTTCCACCACATTCTATTAGAAGTGAGTCATAAGTATCACATTCAAAGGGAGGATGATTAGGCTCTACCTCATGAAGGAAGAACCATCAAAGAATGTATGGACATATTTTATTTGTTTTCATTTTCATTTATTTATTTTGTGGCTGGCTGGTACAGGGATCAAACACTGGATCTCCTGGTGTTATCAGCATCACACGCTAATCTACTGAGCTAACCAACCAGTCACGTGGACACATTTTAAAAGTACCACAGCAGGCCCCTCTCTATGCCTCCATTCCTTGTTGGTAAATGTGGTTGTGAAGATACAGTGAAATGATACATCCACAAATAGGATCATGAACAGGCCAAGCCCAACTTTGGAAGGGAGATTCAACAGGAAAGGGCATTCCAGGCCAAAGGCCCAGACGTGGGAGAAAGCAAGACTTGGTCCAGGCACAGGAAACCAGCATACCTGTCTCAAAGATCACGTGAGGATGTAGGAGGGCATGGGAGATAAGACTGGGAGGTAGTTAGGGGGAAGATTATGGTTTTCAGTAAAAGTGTGAAGTTTGGGCATTATTCCATAAGTAAGAGAGAACATTCAAAGGTTTTTGAGCAGAGGCATAATGGAATAAAATTGCTTTGGCAAGATAATTTCCAAGACAGTGCACAGAATATATGAGATTGGGGAGAGCCTGGAGTCAGGGCCACTGGTTCTGAGGTTATGGTTACAGTCCTGGGGTACTGAATTAGGATGATGGGAGTAGAAAAGAAGGTACATGGGATGGGTAGGATGAGTGGATGACATGGGATAAGTTTAGGGATAGAGAAGGGGTGTGCCTGAAAAGGTGGGATTTACCCCTGGGTGAATGGAAGGCCCATAATGGGAGCCAAGAGACCTAGCCGGAAAAGCAGGTTCAAGGGTAAAGATGATGATTCCTGTCTGGAGCACATTGAGGTTGACATGCCTCTAGGATATCCATACTGGAAATTTGGCCTTAAGCCTAGAAGTGGGATATGGAGAGAAACATTGATTGGGGAATCATGATCCCCATGTCAAATGTATGGATTAAGCTGAGGTGGACAAGGACTGAACTTTGGGGTAACCCAGAATTGGTTCCAGAAGTTCAACAAAGGCACTTACTCTAAGTCATGTGGTTGGCAATGATGATCATGGCCTGTCTTGAAGTTGTGTTTGCAAAGCAAGCCATTGTTTCAACTTAGGGTCTCTGTTGATTTGAAATGACTGGTGGGGAGGGGTGAGGGTATATTCATTTTCTATTGCTGCTGTAAGAAATCACCATAAATTTGGTAGCTTTAAAACAACACAGATTTATTAGCATACAGTTCTGGAGGTCAGAAGCCTGATGTGGGTCTCACTGGCTAAAACCAAGGTGTTGGCACAGCTGTATTCTTTTCTGGAGGCTCTAGGGAAGAATTCATTCCTTGCCTTTTTCAGCTTCTAGAAGTTGCCTGCATTCCTTGGCTCGTGGCCCCTGACTCCGTCTTCCAAGACAGCAACATTGCTTCTCTCTGAACTTCTTCCTTAGTCACAACTCTCTGACTCTCTTTGCCTCCATCTTCCACGTTTAAGGACTCGTGATTACAATGAGCTCACCTGGATAATTCAGGATAATCTCCACATCTCAAT